AATATTGCAGAATTTAGATTGATATTCCAAATCATTTGAAGATCTTGTAAATATTTAAGCATTGTATTTGTACTTTAATCATATTGCATAATGATTATTTAGTAAATAATAATTTACATATATTATACACATATTTTATGAAATTGAAATTGATACAGAATTTAATAATGATATATGATCTCATACATTCTTGTAAATATTTTAGTTAAAACTAATTCTTTATACTTTAGTTATAAAATTATTTAAGAAATATTTTATCTACAATTGCTTGTATATTATAAATTTTAATTATATAAGAAAAATGAAGTTAATGTGTTTTTCATTTTTATATTAGTATTGACTGATAATATTATACAAACAACGATCCTGATATCTATTTTCAAATATTACTGTATTTTCCAGTGTATAAGATGACTTTTTAACCCAGGAAAATCTCAAAAGTCGGGGGTCATCTTATAGGGAGGGTTCTGCAGTCGGCTGGGATGCCCAGGGTAAGGATAGAGATAGAGCGGCACTGTGCCCAGAAAAACACGCATCTTTCACCTGTCCGGCCCGTTATTGTATGTATCCTATTACCACACCTCTCTCTCTGCCTCTTAGATCTCGCTCCTGAGGACTGCAGTGAAGTGGCGCAGGCACTCATGTGCGAGATCTGAGAGGCAGAGAAGGAGGTACAGTAATAGGATACAAGGACAGCCAGGGTAGTCTTATATGGCGAGTATATCCCAAACTCTATATTTTAACTGTAAAAGTCAGGAGTCGTCTTATATGCTGGAAAGTATGGTACATTATATATATTTCCATTTTTTATAGGGTTTATTTTAGCATTTTCATTTCTAGTTGACGATTATGGTATTGCATTCTCCAAATTAAAAAAGGTTGATTTATGTGATAGCTCCATATGTATGGACTACATAATTTGCAACACTAATGGTTTATTGCTTTCTTGTTTTTGTTTCAAAAGGTGTTTAAATGATTATTTGTTAAATCTTAAAAAATATGAAGAAATTAAAAATTAAAGATGATAAATTATATATAGTTATGTACTACAGTTCATTGCAATGACTAATGATCAATTAAATAGTGCATAATTTTTGGCTCTTCAGTAAATATAAATATAGGTTTCAAATTGTTATTTAAAGGATCTTGTTTCTGATTCCTTAAAATAAGTTTCACTCAAAAATTAGTCCTTTAAAACTAAAGATATCTGTTGAAAATAATGAATAAATGTTTTTGAGATCAAATCTTATTTTTGGATCTTTTGTTAAACAGAACAGTTTTAAAAATTGAACAAGTTGTATTTTTAGAAACTTAAAAGAAGTATTTTTTGGACTTGAAACTATTGATATAATTGATCAAATAATATATTTAAATTTTTATTTTCATATTTTTATTTATTTATTTCAGACATAAATCATATTTTATTCAAAATCTGATATGCATGTAATATGATATTTTAAAATGCCAATAAGATTGAATATTTACACTTTAATAAAACATTATTGTTACAGAATTAATGTAGTCACAAAAACATACAAATAAATGTGACACTGTTAGTAATTCAGACTAAATAATATAAGACATAATGTCAAATTTATTTAAAATTTTTTTACATAAATTTATTTTTCTATTACATTTATGGCATTCAGTAATTAACATTTGACTTGCATTAACATATAAATAATTTACTGAATAACAGCATATAAATTAGTATTTTTTTTTTATTGTAAATTATTAAATATTATAAATATTATTTTTTGTATGATGTTAATGGAGATGTTAAAAGAAATTTATTCTAAATGACACATTAGTTTTCAGTATTTAGACATATGCATGTATTCTATTTCAATGATTTATGTTAACATTTAAAAATGAAATAACATAATTACAATATTTAGTTATTTATCCTTCTTAAGATGATGATAATTTTAAATTGCAAATATTGTATATTTATTTTACAATCCTATAATTTAGAATCAACAGCTATTTCCTGTCACTTAATATTATTTAAATGATATTAAACTTACCATATTATATTTCTCATGTTTATGTATTATTGAAACATGTTATATCCTTTATTAGTTTATATATATTGTTCTTTATAATATTAATTTGTTATATTTCTGAAAATATCTTAGTTGAATCAAGAGTCAAAAATGAAAAAAAAAGAAAGAAAGAAAACTACAATTGTAAGAAATATAAAAATTTTAAATTATTCAGGTATCAGTTTTTACCTCCTACAGCATTGTATATATAATTATATCATTATGTGATATATTCAAAAGCAAAAATAATTAATGAGAGGCAGGTGTTCATTTGTTTCATTGTAATTTTTTATAGCAATTTTGTCCATTTTTATTTAATATTTTATAGTTTATTAAAATGAAATTCTTAGGAAAATTTAGTGAATGCTATCAATTTAAATGATCTTTTACAATAATATTATACTGTTTTATAATTAATATTAATATTTTCACTACAGGAATGTCTTGTATCTGTAAAACAAACCATAAACTGGTATCTCGAAATGGTGACGTGATTGAATGTGAACCATGTCCATATAATCAAGTAAGTTAATTTAATAAAATGATTTTATTTGAATAAAAAAGATGAGCTAAACAAAAATATTTTTAATAAGTATAAGTAATATAAAATCAGTAAAATATGGATATTTTTAGCCATATTGTTGTTTTAGAGATTTTAATTATTTCAAAATATTTCAAGAAATGCTGGATTCACAGGTTCAGAATTTTGAATCCAGCATTTCTTGAAATATTTTGAAATAATTAAAATCTCTAAAACAACAATATGGCTAAAAATATCCATATTTTACTCAGAATTTTGAAGACAGTAAATAAAATTATTTTTAAACTAGCAGACCCCACCACGCGTTGTTGTGGCTCAAAATGTATCTATTATAAATGAATAACACTTCCCCCGTGGGGGAAATTTTTCAAAAATGTACATTTTCTTAGTGTACATTTTCTTGACATACCCTATCAAAACGCAATCAAAAACGCAAAAAACCGCATTTGAAATAGTATAATAGAAGCCAAGTTCTTCATGGTAAGCCTTAATCCTGTCCCTCTCCCCTGCGGGGGGAATATCGAAAAATCCCTTTGTAGTGTATATTCTGTTGACGTACCCTATTAAAATACAATCAAAAATGCAAAAAACCGCATCTAAAATAGTATAAATAGAAGCAGAGTACTTTACGGTAAGCCTTAATCCTGTCCATCTCCCCCGGGGGAATTTCGACAAGTATATTATATAANATTTTAAATTATTAATTAAAATTTGTTAAAATGTTTAATTTGAATGTCGCATTCAATATGATTAGTTGTTCATTAAATTATTGATCAAATTTTAAGTCTGATTCTTTTTCTCAAAAAAATTGTTAAAATGTCAAATTTGGGTGTCAAATTGAATGCAATTTTAGTGTTTGTTCATATTAAATTATTAATTAAAATTAACATGTATAATGATTACAAATATTAATCTTGCAGGTTATGAATAAATTTCATAATCCGTTATTTATAATTTTGAAAGAGTTCAAAAATCTTGATACTTTTGGCCAATTGAAATTGGAATAATAGCAGACACTGGAAAAAGAGCTGCTTTTATGACTGTGATAATGAACTATAAATAATTTTTCTAGATATACAGGTGGAGATAAAAGTGTTTCCTCCGATTGATTTTTTTTGAAAAAGAATAGTACAATCCTGTATATCTTTTGCCAGTGTATATTAGTACAATGTACATTAACCATTCCTTTGTAGGTTGTGGAGATGGTTCCTACTGGAAATAAAGTATCAGTGTCAATTACAAAATTGACATTGTAATATGTAATGTTATCTTTTCTTCCATTCTAAGATACGAAACAGAATTTGAGAACAGGCTGTAAAATAATAATGTTTATGTAATCACTTCTAACAAGGATGTAATGGGATAGAACTGTATGCACAGATAGGACTAAACAATAGAAGTTTAATAGTAGTTTATTAACTAAGATTAACTTAACTTATATTTATTATATATTGAACATTAATGATAATAGTAATAAAAATATATGATGATATAATATTTTTAATAAAAGGAAAATGCCAATTTTACTAAATTGAGATTAACATTTATGTTAACTTGATCTTTAACCAATAATTTTTCTATAAATTTTGATATGTTATCCAATGTATATTTGCATCATATCATCATTTAAAGTTTTCTGTAATTGGTAAGAGATTATAAAGTATTTTAAAATTACAGTAATTATTAATATTAGAATTAGACATTACTCATACTACGTGTCTATAGAGTATTTTTCGGTGAATTAAATCCAGAACTTACTACCATGTTCCTGGTTATAACTTTTCAATTATAGTTTTCTTTTATATTTAAGAGACTGAGGATTACCTGCTGCAAACAAATTTACAAACATTACCTCTTTATAATAATAGTATAGATGTAAAAAAAATTCTTATTTTTTGTTATATACATTATTTATAAACAGTGATTCAATACAGATGTTTCAATAGAAAGATTTAAAATTCAAAGTATCTCAACATTCATTTTAAATATTTTTATGCAAGTACATTTTGTATAAATTATACAAGAATATCTTTGTTTTTGCTGTTTCTTCTATTGCAATCTATAAATTTTGTAATTTTTCTTCTGTTTATAGATTTTATTCTAATTTGCCAATGTTCTGTTTTGGCCACATCTGTAACATGTGGCCAAAATGAACAGGCAAAACATAGAATTCATTACAGAATGATACAAACACAGTGAGAAGGTTTGTTTTGATGAAGTGCATTCTTAGATGAAAAAAGTATAGTTATAATGAAATAGTAAACTGATTTTGTTAATTTTGTTTTGTATTGATCATACATTTTTTCTGCCTGAATACTTTTTCTCTCTTACAAATTTATTGTAAAATTATTAATAAATTTATAAGAATGAAAGATGTTTTACCAACTTTTTCTGCATTTTACTGAAAAGATAGTTTTGTTTTTGTATCAATAACGAAATACCAGAATTTAAATAAAATGGTACTGTATTTTGGTGTTTCAGAAATGGTCGTGCATACCAATATTCAATATCCTGATATTCCAAGTCTTAGTAAGACTTGCAATATCAAGACACTGGATATTACAGGCAATCTTCAACTTTCAGGCATAATGTGTTCCTGAAAAATATGTACAAAAAGTTGAATCATAAAATTGCATGTTACAAAAGGAGTCAGTTCTCTGAGAGCTAAAGAGAAAACTTATAAAATCTCTTAATTAATAAAGTATGAAAGTTCAGTTTTTACACTGAATACAGTACAGTTCAAAAAAATATTATTTAAAACATTAAAACCATAGATTAAACAAAAAAAGATAAAAATTAATTTTCACAAATGACCACCTTATTACCAAATCCAAAACTGGCAGAAAGGACCAGTGTCTAATAGCTAAAAATTTTTGTCAGCTGAAAATGTGAAAATATGAATTTGGCATGTGAAAAATAATTTAGAAAAATCAAATATGAAAGTCAAGATCTACCTGTATTACAAATTATTATTTCCAAGTTTTATCTGGACAACTTACATCTGTTTGCACAGATGTTCAAAGGCTGCTTGTGCATCTGAATGTAACTTTGTACATTGCCTTTGACATTGATAGATTACAACTGAAATTATTATTTGTCTCAGAAGTGATTGATTTATTTACTTATTTTCACTATGACTTCTTAAACTTATCTAATGATGAAAATATAAAACTTACATAATGTTAATTAATATAAAGTTTTAATATGTGTATAATTTATGGAGAAACACTATTTTCAGTTGAAAAATTAAATGAGTATAATATCACTGAGCACTCCTGTTCTCCTTGTCCCAGTTTTACTTGGCCAGACAGTACAGATTCCAGGTAAGATGTAATTAAGAAATTATTTTAACTTTAACAGAATTCATTTTTATTGTTCAATAATGAATTATTCTAATTTTTTTAGGTTTATTAACTAAAATACTGAGTGATCATAATTAAGTTTCCCTGATCAATGCTGTCCAAAGAGATATTTAGAAGTCCAACTAAATCTGGTATGGTGACATTTCAGAACAAGCAGAAGATATTTTCATTAAAAAAATTAGTATCAAAATTCACCACTATGGCATTTTTATCACTGTATACAACACGTTTTATTTGTACTAGACATTCATGCTGTACAGAGAGTGGTACAGGAGATACTGCTTAATGTGGTTCCCATTCTGAAGGTGTAAAACCTGAAAGTAAACAGTGTGTTCAACAGTTCACTTTAATTTATTCTCTGGATGCTTCTTATATGCAATATGATACTGTCATTCAAGGTTACCAAATTTGCAACATGTCCTCAATAAACCACATTTTTAAGCATCCTCTTACCAAAAATTATATGGATTAAGATCCAGAGAATGAGATGGCCAGGTGATAGGAAATGCTAATCACTTTGTTATTGGTGAAATGTTGTCAAAGAAACTGCTGTAAACATCATCCAGTATGTGGCGAGCTTCTCCATCTTCATGAAATTGATTGATTCAAGGTATTGTTGTACCCTAATTACAACAAAGATGCAGTTAGGGTATAACAAAAGTGTTGAGGATATCTCAGTATTTCTAAGTCATCACAGAGCATGTTACATTGGAACTAGCTTTGTGGAAGAAGAATGGGCCAAGGACAAATGTGGCAATGAATCCACACTGGATTGTAACTTTAGATAAGTGCTGTGGAATCTGCTGGAAAACAAAATAGCTTTCCATGGCCCAAATGCATGAGTTACAGTTTTCAGTGTTCCACAGAAGTGAAAATGTGCCTTGTTGCTCCATGAGATGTTTCATAGTCAAGATAAGTTCACTTTTATTCATTCCAAGGAATAAAAGTGGGCATGTCAAGAAATAAATTTTAATTTTTTTTATAGTTATTAAATTTATCAAGAAATGATGCCTAACACCTTCTATACAAAATTACTGAATATTTAATTATTAAATAATAGCTATATTACAGGCCAATATAATCTGAAAGATCATTTGGCCTCTAGCAAGGAATGCCAATACAAAGGTAAATCAGGTTTCTCTGTTGGCAGCAAGAAACTGCAGGTTTTTACTGATCTTTATATGGATAACAATGCACCAATTTTGTCATTACCTTCCACATTGTGCCATAGAATATACTCAACTGTTGTGACAACAGTCATGCACTACTGGAACATACAACATTATTCATTGACTGTTCAACAACATCTTCAATGATTAGTGAATAGATAAATTTGTATCCTCACCTGGACAGATGATTAAAAACTCCTAGACATTGTTTCTTTAAATTGAGAGATCATTCTCATGAGAGCTTGTGGTGTAAATGGTCATTGGAATAAATTCCTTATGATGAAAATATTTCTGAAATGCATCTACAATTTCTTGTGAAGTTGCTTTATGAAAATAACTTCACAAGAAATGCACATTCTGGCAAAGTGTGATGGCCATCACAGCTGCTAAGAACGCTATTGAAAACAGTTGCTTAAACAGTGGTCATTTTATACCCTAAACTTGGCTGCAACATATGTGTTTATATAGAGGAAACTGCTTTTTTGTTGCTTTCAGTACCAAAAGTACTACAATGATGAGTTTTGGTATTAATTTATTTTTATGGAAATGTCACCATACCAGATTTAGTTGCACCTGTGCTACTAAATATCACTGCAGAGAGCATTTACTAGGTATATTTTAATTACAATCATTCAGGACATATGAATATAATTTTTATTTTTGCATTATTTAATTTTTATTTTTCTAATTTGAGTTTTTCTTAAACTTTAGAAAATATAAACAGTTTACTTACAGGTTTTTAAATTCAGCTACTATATTCATAAAGTACACCTAATTCTGTTTTTATGTGATAGATTGGTTCCCAGAAATTATGAATAAAAAAATATATTGTATATATGGAAAATTAGAAGATAGGTTCTGACCTAAGAAATCAACAAAATAATGAAATAAACCATACGAAAAATCTTGTTAGAATCTTATTTTTTTTTGTCTGTTGTCAAATTTTATTTCATATACAATGCACATAAATTAAAATGAATTACAGGAACATACATTTTATTTGAAAAACAAAAAAACATAAAAATTAGGTAAAATATGTAATGTGAGTTATACATAAGATTTTATTTGCTGTCACTTTCTGACAATAAATGCATACAATTGAAAATGATTGAAATATTCACTGCTATCAATAAAAATGCTTTGGTTATCATCCACTTCATCCACAGGCAAAGTTCTTTCTGTGAATTCATGAACAACATTAGCAATAATGTCCTATGGTGCTTATGTTACAGTGGTTTTATGAAAGAATTTAGTTATTAATGACTGTGTTCGTATTTTGACTAGGCCTTTATATAATTCTCTATAATATGACTTTAATGATTTAACAAATATCCTAATTAGGATCACACTTGACAAAGTATTTTTTTTAAATTGTTTAAAAAAGTTTGTGTAAAAACAGAATTGGGTGTATTGAATATACTACATGTTTAAATAATTATTTACTTAACTAATTGGCATTAATTGTGATGGTGATAAATTACAAACAAATAATTTAGTGAAACTTTGACTTATAATTTAATATTAAAAATTGAAATGTTTCCATTTATTGGGAATTACTATACTTACATATTTTTGAGCAAATTAATTGAAGTATTATATACAGTGCACTCTCACTAATCCAAATTCCAATTAATTAAGTTTTAATCATTTTACAACCAGATGTTTTGGCCAAAAACAAAAATAGATCATACATTATTTTTTAAAAATACAACAAAAGTTTAGAATTAATGTGGACTACACATCTTAACATAAATATAAGTGCTAAATATGGAATTAAAAAATCATTAACTAGATATGTACTACTTCAGGTGTAAATCCAGGGATTAGTGAAGGGGCAATCATCTCTAATGTTTTTTTATTATGAACACAAACTTTCATAATAAATATATTATAGTTTTTAACTCACTTATAAAATGAGTATGACTTTGTTAGGTTCTTAATGTGTATAGAACTCTAATCGTAGATCACTGTTTAATATATAACAAAGAAACGGTTATAACGGTCGGACTGGACACCGCACGTCCTGCTCGTCTGACTGACTCGAACAAAAGACATCCCCAAATCGCGCACCCACACGTAGGTGTAACCTGATTGGTTCCAAATTGAACCCTGGTCATTAGGTTTTCACATGTGGAAAACACCTGACCGAACAGACTTTTAAAATGGTTACTAGATCCCAAGTTTTAGGTTGCCTTAAAGAAATGAAGCATGGCAGTAAAGCTTCCTGTCATAATTATAAAATATAATTAATATTATTTATTTCATTACATGAATGCATTTATATTATTACACTCATCTTCCTGAAATTTGTTTTTGGTTCTGTGCCAATATATTTGATTTCCATTCCTTTATAACCCCACTAATTCAAACAACTACATAAAATAATTGGTTCAGATTAGGGAGAGTGTAGTATATTTTTTATATTTGAGAATAATATTTTTAAGAATATTTATTTTATAAAATATGTTTTTGTTAGATGTATTTATTGTCCTGAAGAATTTCATGATCCTAATGGAATTTGCAAATGTCCACCTGGTAAAGATGGTCAGGTAAATCAATTCTTTTAATAAATTATTATTTAGTTTAAATAAATTTTATACTTTTTATGAACTACCGTTAAGTGAAACATAATACATTATGTAGTAAAATTAATACAGCACGTATTCATAAACTAAGTATATCATAAGCATAGAAGATAACGTATTAATAATATATATAAATATCAACAACTCATAGCCCGAGTAGTAAATACATCACCAAACGATCGCCTAAATATCGGGCTATAATACGGCTAATTAAATGATTGGAATCTAGTCTACCTCTAGTGTCAAATTACTTTATTCCAATCATTTAATTAGCCGTATTATAGCCCGATATTTAGGCGATCGTTTGGTGATGTATGTATTAATAATATATATTTTTTAAATTTCAATTGAAGTTATATTAAATTTATATTAAAAAAATATTAAAAAATCTCTGTGTTCATACTATACTTTTCTTACTTTATTTAAATACATTTAAGTATATAAAATATTTTGAAGGCAATAAGCAATAGTTAAGTATTTCAAATTATAGTTGAAATTGACTTATGTATATACCTATTTATCATCATACAAAAGAAAAAGAACGATATTTGAATTAAAAAAGAATCAAACAAAAAAGTAAAAGTTGAATATTCAGCAAGAATATTAAGAATACCTGTCATTTTATTACATGTTTTTGTTTAACTTGATCACATGATTAAAATGACAATTAAGATCATATGTCTTAGAAGTGTATGATTAATAAAAAATTATGACAGAAAGGAGTGTAATATTTATCATACAATTTACTCATATTTTCAAATGATGATGTAATTATTCTAAATGCATGCAATAAATATCTTGTAATATTTTATTTGCATTTAAATTGCATTAGGCCTTATATTAAAAGATTCAATAAATCTGAATATTTGTATTCCTATTCTGAATAGAATAAGATAAATAAAATAATCTGTTTTTCCTGCTTTAATGAAAAAAGAGCATAGAATAAAGCTACAATTAAAAAAGTAGTTATAATTATAAACAAAAACAATGCTAATTAGTATTTTTTGACTAGAAAGTTATGGAAAGTATTTTTGCTAACCTATTTATAAATTTTAAAAATTTAAATCACAAAATTTCTTAGTTAACAGTTATATTACTCTAATATTTAATACTATTTTATGTAAAGAGCTTGTGTAATTATGAAACTCTGGGATAATTATAATATTTTATACCAAGATATAAATGGAGTGTATAAAATTTATATAGACTGCAAATTTTGAAGATTATTTTTGAGTATTAATATAATAATTAATATATAATTAATAATTGTGAGATTATATATAATCAAATCTTGTATTGCTGTCAAAGCAATAAAAATTATTTGTTTATTTATTCAAAGTATTAAGAAAACATAATTTTATAATACTAAAATAAAAAAATTATAATGTAGAATCAAATAGATCAAAATACAAAATTAAAAGTAAAATAAGTGTACAGTCGACCTTCCTATAAGATATAGATACGTTCCAATTTATTAGGAATCCGATTTCTTACAAGTCATTCCAATCACAGCCCGACACGTGTCAAGTTTACGGACTACGGCTGATTGAAAGGTTTTCTTCCATAAAATTAATCAATTCTACACTAATCCGACTCAACATTTCCAAAATACGTATATTTTTTTGTAGTTTTATAGGAATCGTAATTATAGGGACCATAATTATAGGGGGGTCGACTGTATGTAAATATCTTTAAAATTCTTTATTTAAAACACCATTTAAGTTATAAAGGTTAAAATTTTAAATAATTGTTTTAGAAATTTTTATAGTCTTACCTCCAACTTTATAAAGTGATTAGTTTTTATAATCTTAAATGTCATTTTTTTTATGTAGTAAAAACTATTTTCAGACTTATCCAATGTGTAATAATATACTAATTTTTGACAATATATTTTAATGAGAAAATACTTATTAAAAATACTTGAATAACTGAAAATACCAGACATAGTTCTAAACATATTTCAGCAATTTAGGATCAAATAGCTATGAATCAGGAAAGAGACATGAAAAAATTTTATTTTATTAAATTATTAATTAAAATTAACATGTATAATGATTACAAATATTAATCTTGCAGGTTATGAATAAATTTCATAATCCGTTATTTATAATTTTGAAAGAGTTCAAAAATCTTGATACTTTTGGCCAATTGAAATTGGAATAATAGCAGACACTGGAAAAAGAGCTGCTTTTATGACTGTGATAATGAACTATAAATAATTTTTCTAGATATACAGGTGGAGATAAAAGTGTTTCCTCCGATTGATTTTTTTTGAAAAAGAATAGTACAATCCTGTATATCTTTTGCCAGTGTATATTAGTACAATGTACATTAACCATTCCTTTGTAGGTTGTGGAGATGGTTCCTACTGGAAATAAAGTATCAGTGTCAATTACAAAATTGACATTGTAATATGTAATGTTATCTTTTCTTCCATTCTAAGATACGAAACAGAATTTGAGAACAGGCTGTAAAATAATAATGTTTATGTAATCACTTCTAACAAGGATGTAATGGGATAGAACTGTATGCACAGATAGGACTAAACAATAGAAGTTTAATAGTAGTTTATTAACTAAGATTAACTTAACTTATATTTATTATATATTGAACATTAATGATAATAGTAATAAAAATATATGATGATATAATATTTTTAATAAAAGGAAAATGCCAATTTTACTAAATTGAGATTAACATTTATGTTAACTTGATCTTTAACCAATAATTTTTCTATAAATTTTGATATGTTATCCAATGTATATTTGCATCATATCATCATTTAAAGTTTTCTGTAATTGGTAAGAGATTATAAAGTATTTTAAAATTACAGTAATTATTAATATTAGAATTAGACATTACTCATACTACGTGTCTATAGAGTATTTTTCGGTGAATTAAATCCAGAACTTACTACCATGTTCCTGGTTATAACTTTTCAATTATAGTTTTCTTTTATATTTAAGAGACTGAGAATTTAAATTATAATGTTAAATATTTAAACAATAAAGATATAAATATTTTGCATATTGTACATTAAAAGCAAATTAAAAATTTAATATTTCTCTAATGTTAAAGTTAAATTTTGATTTATATTTCAATTTATTAGTTATAAATGGAATAAACTTTTATCTTACTTATCCCATTTTTATTTCTTTTAATTTTACTTTTAAATTGGAAAGAAAACTAAATATTTAAATTATTAGTATTGAAAATTTGTTATCTAAGACAAACAGATGTATATAGCTATAAATTTATTATGAAATTGTTCAATTTATTAATTAATATTAAACAATAAATTACAATAATCATTATACAAAAGACACAATATATTTATTAAATTGAATAATAAATTAGCTGTTATAATATTCAAAAAGATACTCAAAAATTTTTAAAGAAATTAATGTATTTATTTTATCAGAATTTTAAGTTTTACTTGCATATTACAGTTTTTAATTTAAAAATCCTACTTTAACTGTAACCAAATATATAGAATGAATATAAACATTTATATTGTACATACAGAACATTTATAGAATGTTCTTGATGCCATTGAATTTGTTATTTTTTTAAAAATTTATTTTATGATAGTTTCAATGGTATTGCTTAAAGATGTCATTATCAAAAGTAATAAAAATGTGTGCACTGTTTAAATAAATTAAAGTTTTGAATTTCTTGATAGTCGTATTTACTTCTTATTTATATATAACTTAATTGTTTCTTTTTATAATATGCTTACATTTAAAACTAAACAATTTTATTTTATTATTTATAAACAAAAGTTAGAAATTTTGATCTAATTCTATAAGTGAATTTGACTGTTTACAAACAATTTCATTCTATTGACAGTTATACTACTAAGTATATTTTATTAATTAAATTAATGTTTGAACACATTTTTCTTACAATAATTCTTTACATTAGTTGAAAATATAATTTCCATTTTTCAAATTATAAAAATACATCTAATTAAAACGTTATGATCAGGAGTTCAGTATTTAATTCTGTTTGTTTTAGCGTGTCTTAACAGGAGGATCTTGTGTAGCAAAAAAGGAACTAATCACTAATAATCCTTCTCAAACTACTATAAGATATCAGGTATTAACTAAAAAATTTAATGTATAAAATTGATTTTTTTTTTAAATAATAAATTTAAATATTTTAATTATTTCAGAATGGTCTATCAGTACAGTCAAATTTCTTTGTTCATCACTTTCAGGCAGTAGTTGTTAATTGCAAAGTTAGTATGATTTAAACCTCTTAATGATTAAACATTACTTTATTAAGTGAAATAGTATAATTTCTAAAAGTTAATATAGTTATTTAAATGAATTAACTTTTTGATTTTTTAATAGCATATTAAAACTTTTGAACTAAATTAAATCATATTCAATGGACTCTTGATTTAGTGACTACCTGACATAGTGAAATTTCAATTTGGGAAAGAATATTGTTGGTCTACACTATTCTTCATTTATACAATAAACTCTTGATACAATGATTGAATGATTTGGATTAGATTAAAAGGTTTTATCACTGCTTAAAGATTTTCTGTATTGATTATTTTTAAACTGTTTTATTAAAATAATATTTTCAAACCTTTACATTTAACTCTTTCCATTAAAATTCCAGTAAATAGTTTTGAAGCTAAATCTTTCAGATAAAATTGTAATGTATTTTTAAGTAATAAATAAATTATTCTAAAACTCTTAAGATATCTTTATCTTAAGATATCTTTAAAAGCATAATTAACTTGAACTAGTAATTTTCATTACTAGTTCAAGTTAATTATGCTTTTAATCTTTTATTCAGTTGTAAATTATTTTTCACTTTTAATGAAAGATGAACATATAACTGGGTTGCAATTTTCAAATATTGGAGACCTATAAATTACCACTGGCATCTGTCCAACTGTCTCTCTGTCTTTCTTTAATCTCGAGAATATTGTGATAGTTGAAAGTTGAGAAACTATTTAGGGAAAACTTAGCAGCAGGAAGCCCTTATTAACTATATATGAACTTCCAGTTTAGACTGGAAGTCATGTTATTAGAATTCAAAAATGTTCTCCTGAACAGAGTTAGATAGATGACCAACATGACTGTCTATTGTTAACAGGAAAAGTATGATATACAGGGGAAGACTACTAAAATTGAGAGCATTGTGACAATGTCACAATAAGTAATAGCTTGTTAATGTTGTACAAATACAAGAAAATTTATAAAATTTTAACTCAAGTTGTTTATCTTTAGGTTTACGTTGCTTTTTAACATGGATTAATAAATTTTTCAAATGATTTAAATTTCTCATGTTAGAATTAATGCACCTTATATAGAGTTAATAGAGTTTTTTATATATATAACAAATGATTATGGAGTAATAATTAATATTTTTTATAGTATAATATTACCATTTTGATAGTTTTTAAAATGATTTTATTATTAAACATAAAAACTTTTAATATAAAATTAAAATTATGTGTATTAATTAGTAAATCTTTAGTAATAAATATTTCTTATAGTCAGGTAAAAATGTAACAGCTTGTCAGTGTCTCGCTAATATGTGTGTGCTGTTATTATATAATATGGATAATTATCATAGTGGCAAAAGTGATGCTTGTTCAGAATATTTAAGTTTTACGTATAATGGAAACTTTCATCTAAATCAGTGGTAAGTACATTGGAAATTAATTAAAATTGGAAAAAAGAAAGTGAAAATGTTTTAATATTCCACTTAATCTAAAACATTTACATACTTTAATGGAGTTATTTTCTTAAAACAGTTATTATAACATTATCATTCTAAAAATGAAATTATGAGAATCCGAGTATAAGATTAATTTTTTTTTTCTAAAATCTAAAACTCTATGTAATATTTTGTTGTTAAATTGTGCACTTTTCCACCTTTTGAGGAAATTTGGGGAGAACAAGGAAGTAAAGTGCTTCCTTTCCCAACAGTTTACTTCCTAAGAAAATTACTATCACATCTGATGACTAAACTTCTAACTAACTCGACTCATTGTCAGATGACACAATCTGAACTCCTCATTGAAGAAAATTTCTGAATTTTAGGGTTTTACGCACCTGATTTGAGGCGAATTTGGCCATTCTAGCCAGTTCTCCAGAAGTTTTGTTTGTGCCTAGTCTCCTTCAACTTCCCGACCTCTGCCTCTTGTACAAATCATCAAAGAAAGCAAGATTAACAATTATATTCAGAGGTATTATGTCAAACTTTATGTAAACTCTCTCTCTGTCACGAAGATTAGAGAATTTAGGAGTCGTTTATCTTTTAGTTATCATAACCTCTTGTATTTTATTTTAGTTATTCTTATTAAATTTTGTTGTTCATTTATTAAAATGGTATCGATGTCAGTTCAATCAAAATTGGATGCCTATCAACTGATCTACAATCTCCCCACTCACAAGAAATTGAGCCATCTTTTTGAACAAATGAATTTTAATATTGCAAGTTAGGATGTGAGTATAACTATCCTAACTGGTGTCAGGACCTGACACCAGTTAGGATAGTTATACTCACATTCTAACTTGCGATCCTGGGACAAATTCTAACTTATAGCCATCCAGTGACAAAGTGAGCGGTTCTTACTGAATTGTCGCTGATTAAATGTCAATAGAAAATCCCTATTGACCCCGGCTTCTCACAAAATCCCATAAGAACTTGTATAATTTTTGTTTTTTAAGACTGTAACACTATTAAAGTATGTTTCTGGTAAAGTTTTAAGAGAAGTGATATAAGANTAGTTAAATTATTTTGACCCAATTGAATTTGAATATTTTTGATTCATTCCTTTATTATTTCCACTCTAAAAAGTACTCTATTTTTTTGAATGAGCCAGACTAATTTATCAGAATATATATTTTTCTTTTCGGAACAATGGGCTGAAGTAGCTAGATCACACACTTTTTACTTAGACAAACTTTTCAGGAAGGGTGAAATTGAAGTGCAAAAGCTGTAGAATAAAGATATGTAGATGTAGAATTTTATCGCTCCCCCTTTTTCCTTTTATTAAATATTTGTATTTTTAAAAATTAATGTTTTTATACAAATAAATATTAATGTAAGTTAAATATTAAAAATACTAACAATAAAAGTATTTGGGTAAATGCCCAGGCTCCTTTCAGAGTTCAGAGTAGGGTACTTCCTACGAGTGCCTCTGCCCCCCCATAATTACTTGGTATTTAATTTTGCTGGAGTCGGAGTTGGCCTACTAAAATTATCAGGAGTTGGAGTTAAGTGTTTTTTTACTGACTCCACAGCCCTGATCAAAATAATATCTCTATAATAAATGTGTAAGATTTTATTATTAGATATAACTTATAAAATTTTAATTATGTTGTTCCATCAGTTTTTGCAGCTCATCCATATTTTATCAGTTCAGTGTACAGTTGATATATTTTTTATTGATTGGGAAAGACCTCAAGTGCATGGTTTAACAACAAAACTAACATCTCCAAAATCAAATGAAAGAAGTACTGGAGAAGTCAGTGCTGCATTAAATACAAAAAAAGATAAAATAAACGGTGAAAAAAATTTGGACTCACCAGCTGTTAGTATTTGGAGAACTTATTTTGTTGCCAAAGAATGGTGTGAAATACAGTGCCTAAGAAGAGTCCAGTTGGGTTTTCATCTTATGGCTGTTTTATTTTTTCTTAAGGTATTACATTACCTTTTTAAGTAAATAAATAATAAAATTTGTTTTAAAATATTAAATTTTTTATATTCTGTAGGGAATTGGTTTTGAAAACTTTGCACATGCTGATCCTTTGACCAATTTCTCATCAGAAAATGTACATATCAATGTTCCATACAGTTTTATATGCAGATTCTCGGTGGGATCGTGTACTTATATCATTTTGGCAACAGTTCAGGTATATTTAAATAAAATAAATTATGGTTTAAATTTAATTATATTTATTACATAAAAAATTAATTTTCAGATTTTCTTACGTAAATTGATATATGAACGTTTTTTTCAAGATAAACTCCAAGAATTTGTTGACCTTTGCTCAGTTAGTAATGTAAGTATTTAAATTATGTTTCTGTTAATTAACTGACCATTTTCAACAATCTTATGATTTATAGATCAGTGTCTTTGTTATGTCAGCAAGGCAGTTTGGTTACTATATTCATGGCCATTCTGCCCATGGTCGAGCAGATGTTAACATGAGAGAAATGCATGATCTTTTGAGAAGAGAAGAGGTATGTACTCACTTCAAAATTATATTATGACAATTATTGTTTAAGTTTTAACTTCTTATAACATCAGCTTTTTAAAATTGTTTCAAGAATTAAAGAATCCTAATATAGAAATATATATTATATAAAACAAAAAAAACTATATAANTTAAAAGAATTTCTATCTTTACTCAAATTATTCAATATTATCTGATTTAACTGCATGTTTTCACTGCAAAGTCTGCTTTCTATGTAACTTTTGTATCATATAAAATGATTTCTTCTGAAGCAAAAATCAAATGATCATACTTAACTAATGAAAAATGGACAATTCAATTATCAATCCACACTGGAAGTAAATATTTTAAACTCATCAAACTGTGCATTGCTACACCTGACAGTTTTTTAATTGTAATTCCTAATTTTACATTTGAATTTATAATTACACTTACAAATCATAGAGTGAAACCTTGCATAATGATCAAAACAAATTGTAAAAAAAAAAATGACTTGCTTAATGAGTGATGTTTTGCATAACAAGTGACAAGGAGAGGGGAAGTCCCAGATTGTGCGCATGCTCCATCAGTCTGTGTTTAGCACTCGTTCCACTAGCATCTTAGTGTCGCTTGTGATCGCACATTTTTTTCAAACTTGTGTTCACACATATAAACATCAACAACCATAGCCCATTATATAATAAACACGCCAAATGATATGCCAAATTCTTAGGCAATGTAAAGCTATAATTAAATATTAGAAATTAAATAATTTGACTAGAGGTAGGCAGTTATGCTGCCATCTCGTATTAATTTTAATGAATAATTCTAAATTAAAAATTATTATTTATAATTATTAAATTTAATATGAGATGGCAGCAAGGATCTGATGAAAATATTCAGATAACATAATCAATAATATTTTCATTTGATTTGTGAGAATTAGAAATTCAAGCCTTATTCAAAATTATTTTGTTATTACTTCATTCTAAATTCAATTAATCAATTTAAATTAGTTTAAAAAGTTATTAACTATTAGAATAAGTTGATGAATAATCAAATATAGTTAGCAGATTATTTACATGCTGATTACAATAATTTAGAAATTTAAAATTAGATTTTATAGTTAATAATGATTAATAAAAGCAAGAATAATTAAAGTCATATTTTTTTATTCTTATATCAATGTAATAGTTTGATTTTTTTAAAATTATACAGAATTTTATAATTATTTGTCTCTCTAGTTTTGTGGAATTCCTGGAAGTACACAAGAACCAATGTTAACTTTTGGGACAGCTTTTCATATCAGTGTAAGTTAAAATAATCAATAATTTTAGTTTTTAAGTAGAATTTGCTCAAATACTATATTTACAGTTACCTTGTTTAGTTATTTGAAATTTAATTTTTTGAATTTAATTTTTATATATTTTAGTGTAAAATGAGAACACAAGATCTTTGGAACAATGCTAATTTATTTTTTTATGAATTACGTATCCTTTAATATGTACTATCCTATTCTTTTTTCCAATTTTAATTAATTTGCAATGTAATAGAATTTGCATTTAATAAGCATTAATTAATACTATTTTAAACTACTTTTTACATCCAAAATTATTGTATATTTACATTCAAATACATTTTATTATCTTTCCTTTTGTTGAAACTGTGTCTTTATTTTTAGTGTCTGTTTTATTTCACAGTCAAGTGATGATTTAAAACATCAGACTCTTGACACATCCACTTTATTCAGTACTATATCTTTTATACATTTGTTTGCTAATGTGTTTTGGATTTACAACTCTCTTCTGTTGGCATGATGCACAGCTTACATAATCATTTGCTTTTGTTTTTTATATTAAACCTGATCTTCAGTTTGCCAATATCCTTTATTTAAGTCTTTTTATTTAATAACTTATTAAAATATAAGTTATTAAATATTACATCAAACATTCATTTGACACTTTCTCAATTCAAGACATTAACTTGGCAAATGTTGTTTACACTATTTCATGATTTATATAGTGCATTATTTAGCCCGTTCATTTTCTGTTATATTCCTTGCAATTGTTCTATCATATTCTTTTCCCAGTTCTTTCTTTCTGATAGTCTGATGTCTTGAATCATCACTTCATTGCAAAGTAAAACAGACACATTTTATTATATTTTCTGAGATATACACATGCCAATAAATCTATTATTTCAATTTTGAATTAACAAATTCAAAAAAGTTGCAAATATATTATAAAAGAAATATCAAATTTAATATGATAATTCATTTCATATAAATTTTAGTTAATTTTGATTGTATTATGCTAAAATGTTAAATCATTTTGACTAAGAAAGTAATTAAACTCATTAATGATGATTTTTCTGATATGAACTAATCTACATGCTTAGTACAAATAATTATTATTTAAAATCTTAATGGCTTTATTAAATGATCTTAAATTAACCTGCATATATTTCATTTATGCTGAATTTGTTTTTTATTTACATTGTTGAGAATAAAATATTTTAACATTTCAGTTAATTAAGTTATTGTGTTAATTTACAATACATATACAAACAGCACATAAAACTATTTTCTGTAGTTTTTCCTTGACTTTGGTTTGGCATCAGAGCCATGCCAAACAATTTTGGTGTCCGAGGCAAACATCATATCTGGTGGCCCTGATTCAACATCAATTACAAAAAAAATTTATGGTTTTTTTGATACATGCTTCTTGTCCTTAATTACTTATATATCATGCCTTTGTCCACTTTGGATGTTCTTGTGAAATAGGACTTGTATTGAGGGAAGATAATCACACAATTTCAAAGTAAAACACCTTTAATATAACATAATCCTGTATGCCACTACATTTTAACATTTAAGGCCTCAGTAGTTACATTTTCCATATATTCCTTTCAAAATTTTCGGAACAGACTTTTAAATTGCTATTTTAAAATTCTTCCAGTAAAATTTCTTGAATGATTTCCTGTTTCTTACAATACAATTTCATTCATTTAAACAGCACTTATTCTTTACACGAATTATCAATGCACCATCCAGTGAGTTTAATGGTTTTTAATTCTACAGGTTCGTTTTAGTGTCCACCTTTGCTCCCCTAGTTATGTTGCTGTCTGGCATAGCACTAGGCATCAGTGTATTTGCTGTGTAAGATACACTCCACCAACACAATAATAATAAATGCTAATAATCGCTAGAAGAATTACATAAAAAAGATTTTTTATGTCAATAATATCTATAATAGACTTCATTCTTTTTAAGAGTGACCTGGCAGGAATGATTGCTGTACTACATATGAAAGTTTAAAAAAATTGCACATGAACTACAAATCAATTGCCTAGTTATTATTTGCTACAAAGAACTAACATATAATAAAATTAACAGTTGAATTCAAATAGTTGAGAGTTTTTATATAGCGGGGCAAATTATCAAAAATTTATCAGCCTAAGATACAAGTTCAAATTGGATTGTCTAATAATATCAATTAAAGTATAAATTGGTTTACAGATAATGAAAGGGAAAGAACTAAAGGCAATGTTTACTAGGTATATATGGCTTTGGTTGTGTTGAGAAAAAGTTTAATGATAGGTGCAGTACACAAAGACTTTTTCACATTTTTTTAAAGTTGCTCTTGGTAAGTTTAGACAAAGGAAAGGCTGTTAAATGAGTTTGTAAAATTACAAGTTAAAATCTGCAGATAACATACTTCATTTCAATACCCAGAAGTTAGTCATACAAAAGCTGGAACTGTTGATCAAAAGCAAAAATACACCAATCATATATATCCAACACACAAATTTTAATATAAACACAAATGCAGGTTAAAATTTTAAAAAATTTTAACTTGCATCAGAGCACATATTGAATGTTCCATTTTTGAAAGTTTTGTAATTTATTTGATTTATAGAAAGGTTCTCTTACCTGAGTAAGACCCTTAAGTATGGCTGAAAACACTTGCATTTACATTAAAATTTGTATGCTAGAGTATGCGTGATTGGTGTGTTTTTGCTTTTAAAATTATGGTAATTGTAATTACCAGTAATTTCTATGATATCAAGATTTTTAATATACTTTATACATGTAGTTGAATGACATAAATTGATGAATTTAATAGATAGAATGTTACATGGATATTCAGAAAACTTTACACTGATTTATTTTCAATGATAGTATGTTTACAACAAAATACTTGCTGAAGGATTCAAAATAATAAATTTAAATCAGTTGTGTGACCAGTTTTAAGTTTAGTTATTTTATTTGTTGAAATACAAAAATCTATTTTATACATATTCTGTTATGGTGTACTTAACATATCATAGTTTTAGCTGCAAATGAATCATTAGAACATAATTTAATATATCCTGTACCAGTACGTATTTTAAACTACAGAAATGAAGACAATCCTGTAAATAAAGGTAATTTATGTTTATTTTGTTTTTACTTGACATTTATTCAGTATATATTTAATTAATTTCATCTTTTAGATCCAGATGTTTCTAAATGGCAACTGGTAAGACGGTTTTTTTTACAAGATCCATTATCTGGAATGGAAAGTGCACAAGTCACAACTCAAAAGAAGAAAAAAATTGCAAAAGTTTTCAGATATGCTTCTCATATAACATTAGAGTATGTTAAGATTATTGTTAATCTTATTTATTATAATTACAAATAAAATCAAATCCAATAAATGTTATTAATCAAATGATACAGCCAGATTCTTATATCAGGTTACAATGTGGCTAATTAATTAATACAATATCATACAATATAGACTAAAGGTAGGCCATATGCCATCTCATGTTAAATTTGACAATTAAAATTGTGTTAAATTTAATAAATTAGAATTAAATTAATTTGAGATGGTGGCTTAACCAAGTATTTCTAGTCCAAATTGCTTCATATTGTATTAATTAATTAGCCATATGTAGCCCAATAAGAATCTGGATGTATCATTTATTTTTATTTATTAATTATTTAATTTAATTAATCAATCAAAATTTTCTTTAAAGTATCAAATCACAAAAGGATGGAAAGGTTGGAACTATTCTTCCACCCCTGCTGACGATCGAATATGCAGAATTAACATCAGATGATTATTACAAAAATGAACCAGTTCCTGTTAGTATTAAATAAAATTGCTATTAATATGCAAACATATGTATGTATATATGTTTTTTAAATAATAAATATGTTATTTTAAAATTAATATTTTAATTTCAGACTATTTTTGCTGTTAATTATTCAATGGATCAAACAAAGATATTCGAAGATATATCTGTAAGCCTTGTAACAAATTTTTTGATATTATCTTTTTTATGTAAAAAATATTTTAAAGTATTTAAAATTAGATAGCTATTGGTGTCTTGAGTGGATTCAGTATTTTATGGTCAGCCATTCAAACATGGGGATGGTCTAGAAGATCAGGAAGAGAAGTAATTGACTTAGCTGTAAGTTAAGATTGTATTAATGCATTTGTCAATAATAATATAAAAATTTACAAATTTCAAAAATGTTTATTTTAGGCTTTGGGCAAATTACTTATTTTTGCTTGTGGAAATCTTTCAACTATATTCTTCATAGTAATGATTGCCTGTTCACTTAATTGGATGATACTATTTAAAGTAAAGTATAAATTATTGTGTAAATAAAGTAATTTTTTTATATAGTTTTAAATAATTATTTTATGAAATTATGTATTTTCAGAAACAAGATGTATTTCATTTGTTTTTACCAACAGTAGAACAAGAAAGAAAAATAAAAATTTATCTTATTTTTGCATTTATTATGAAGGTAATATTTTTAAAATAATTAAATTATTTGATAATTTATGCATGACTAAAATAATTGAATTAACACACCAAAAATTCTTGCATTTATTATCATAAATATGGGGTTTCTCCACACCTGAAAAATCAGGAAAAGTTAGGGAATTTTCCTCCTTAAATTCTTTGTTTTTTTTTCTGACAATATACTTGACTAAGTGTAGTTGTCTGTAAGCAGCAAGTAATATGGTGCAATGCAACTTATAAAAAGGGGTGCAGAATGTTTTCAGGACTGAAAATTTCTCCCAAGCATACACAAAATTTTCTAAAAGATTTAAAGTACAAAAAAATGTTAAATAATGCTATTTAAATTAAAATTATATATTATTTTTCATTTTAATAATTTTGATTGCATAACAAAACAATTTCTGATTTTTTTCCAGTTTATTAATATTTTATAAAGTCCAGGAAATTTATTAAGGGCTAAATTTAATGAATATATACTTTTGTACATGGATTATATGGGATTTGTTAATGAGTAATAAATAAATAAACTGCTTTTTTCTTTTTTTCAAAGCTACATAGATTTATGATTGTGGATTAACAATAGAATAAACCTCTTTAATTTAATAAAACATTTTAATTTTAGTTTTAATAATTTGGCAATTATAAAAAATACATAGCTATTAATTTGAAAAAACAACTAATTATAAAGTTCAAGAAGTAATAGCATATGTGCATAGTAAGTCAAATGCTGTTTTATTTTGTAAATATGCTATACTGTAAGGAATTTGAAGATTGGGGAATTTGTATAGAGTTGGTCAGGGAAAGTCATGGAATTTAAAACAAAAATTTGAGTATGAACCCTGTAAATAGATCATTAATATGTAATTAAACAACCTTACGAAGTTTTAAATAGTTTGTAATTAATATGTATCAAAACCAGGACTGTGGAGTCTGAGTCGGGAAAAATGTGTTGACTCTGACTCTGGCATTTTAAATTTAATTTAGTTTTTTTTATTTAAATGAAAGAAAATTTATTTTATATTTAATAATTTTTTAAAATGTTTTTGTATTTTTTATAATTCATTTATTTTAAATAAAAAATGCAACAATTTAATTTATTAAATATGTATCAATAGTTTCTTTGTAGTATTTGTGTTTATTAGTTAAATTATTTTGACCCAATTGAATTTGAATATTTTTGATTCATTCCTTTATTATTTCCACTCTAAAAAGTACTCTATTTTTTTGAATGAGCCAGACTAATTTATCAGAATATATATTTTTCTTTTCGGAACAATGGGCTGAAGTAGCTAGATCACACACTTTTTACTTAGACAAACTTTTCAGGAAGGGTGAAATTGAAGTGCAAAAGCTGTAGAATAAAGATATGTAGATGTAGAATTTTATCGCTCCTCCTTTTTCCTTTTATTAAATATTTGTTAAAAATTAATTTTTTTTTATACAAATAACTATATAAGTTAAATATTAAAAATACAAACTATAAAAATATTTGGATAAATGCCCAGGGCTCCTTTTGAGTTCAAAGTAGGATAACCCTCTATGAGCACCTCTGCTCCCCCATAAAATTACTTGGTATTTAATTTTGCTGGAGTCGGAGTTGGCCTACTAAAATTATCAGGAGTTGGAGTTAAGTGTTTTTTTACTGACTCCACAGCCCTGATCAAAATAATATCTCTATAATAAATGTGTAAGATTTTATTATTAGATATAACTTATAAAATTTTAATTATGTTGTTCCATCAGTTTTTGCAGCTCATCCATATTTTATCAGTTCAGTGTACAGTTGATATATTTTTTATTGATTGGGAAAGACCTCAAGTGCATGGTTTAACAACAAAACTAACATCTCCAAAATCAAATGAAAGAAGTACTGGAGAAGTCAGTGCTGCATTAAATACAAAAAAAGATAAAATAAACGGTGAAAAAAATTTGGACTCACCAGCTGTTAGTATTTGGAGAACTTATTTTGTTGCCAAAGAATGGTGTGAAATACAGTGCCTAAGAAGAGTCCAGTTGGGTTTTCATCTTATGGCTGTTTTATTTTTTCTTAAGGTATTACATTACCTTTTTAAGTAAATAAATAATAAAATTTGTTTTAAAATATTAAATTTTTTATATTCTGTAGGGAATTGGTTTTGAAAACTTTGCACATGCTGATCCTTTGACCAATTTCTCATCAGAAAATGTACATATCAATGTTCCATACAGTTTTATATGCAGATTCTCGGTGGGATCGTGTACTTATATCATTTTGGCAACAGTTCAGGTATATTTAAATAAAATAAATTATGGTTTAAATTTAATTATATTTATTACATAAAAAATTAATTTTCAGATTTTCTTACGTAAATTGATATATGAACGTTTTTTTCAAGATAAACTCCAAGAATTTGTTGACCTTTGCTCAGTTAGTAATGTAAGTATTTAAATTATGTTTCTGTTAATTAACTGACCATTTTCAACAATCTTATGATTTATAGATCAGTGTCTTTGTTATGTCAGCAAGGCAGTTTGGTTACTATATTCATGGCCATTCTGCCCATGGTCGAGCAGATGTTAACATGAGAGAAATGCATGATCTTTTGAGAAGAGAAGAGGTATGTACTCACTTCAAAATTATATTATGACAATTATTGTTTAAGTTTTAACTTCTTATAACATCAGCTTTTTAAAATTGTTTCAAGAATTAAAGAATCCTAATATAGAAATATATATTATATAAAACAAAAAAAACTATATAAGAATTTGTCAAATAACTATAACCATCAATATGTTAGGATTTCTGATTAACTGAGTAATTTTAATGTATAAGTAAATAAATAATATTTTGAATTTTGTTTTCATTTTTAATCTTCTGATATTCTTCATAAATAATGCTTCAGTTTAAATTTCAAGACAGTATCCATTATATAACACAGTTCATATTTCTTAGTGGTTAGAATTTTTTAAAAATTTATAAATTCATTTGAAAAAATTAAAAATCTACAGAATCAACTTTATTCAAAAGGACTGCTGAATCCTATATATATATATATATTGGATACAACTGTATATTCTAAAAATTATAGTACCTTTCATGTATCCAGAAATTGTCAAATACTATAATTTTGAAAGTTGGAAGAACATAAAAACAAAACATGTTTGAAAAAATTACTTATTATTTTTCCAATTTTTGTTTTCTTAATTAATGATGATAGAATTTTAATTTTTTAATTACTTCTTAGAAAATCATAATATTTAGAATTATATTGAAAATTTGACATATTTACAAAAGAGATGATGAGAAAGAGATTCATTCAGGAAAAAAACAAAAAATAATACTAATAATTCTTTATTTATAATCAGAATACCTTTTTGTATTGGTTATGAAAACTGCTAGCATCACAGAAAATCTTTATGTAAGTTCAGAATTTTTACCAGAAATCACATAATGTGCAAGGATTAGTTTCAATGTAATGAAGTAAATGAACAAAATCAAACAATGCTACTATTGTATTGATAATCAATAGATCATTTTCTATTTGTCAAATTGTTTTTCAGAACAATATCAATGAATTAATTTCAATCTTTAGGAATGGGGGCTGGCTTTCCCGGCTTGAGCCCCATAGAAAAGAAAGCACAGTTTATAAAATTTTCTCATAATGTCTAGACAAAAAAATTAGTTATCAGAGTACACTCTTTCCAACCAAGTTAAACAGAAAGAATAATAGCAATTCCTTAAAGTTTGGGGGAAAAGTATAAAAATGTTTTTCTGTAGAATAATGTACCCTGGAGCAATGGGGTTCTCAACCTGGAGTGTATGCAGCAGCCCTGGTAATGTGCGACACTTTTTACAGTGTGTGAAATTTTGTATTAGAGATGTTTAAAAAAATGTACATTTAATAAGTAACAGAAATACCAAAACATATATTCTTCATTGTCTAACAAATAATACTTTTGAGCATCTCCTTAAAATGTGAATTGTTACACTACTTAATCAATTAAGGGTTTGAAGATTAAAATAGAATTATGACATAGTTTTATAATTGCATACAGCATTTGTAAAATTATCATTAAATTTACCATAACAACATGATAATTAATTTTAAAATCTGTTCATAGAGTTGCAGTTGCTATAAAGAATTCATTAATAAATTTGCTGAAAAGTTTACATCATTTAGATATGTATTACTTATAATACTGTTAACCTTTATAAATTGTAAATAGATCTTCCATCAAAACTAGAAAATTTCTGAAAGAAAACATATTTGATTTTTTTACAAAAAGTACTTATTTAATATAACATAGTTTAATTAATTAATCTAAAAATGTAAGATATCTATTTTTCAAATATGTATGATATATTGAAAAATTATTTATTAAGTATTTAATAAGAGGTGCTTGCAGTTTGTAACTTACAAAGTTTATTTTGGATTGACATTGAACAATGTTTTTGTTATTTTTTCTCAAAATAACAAAAACATAATTAGAAATTAAAGGATTACATAACATATTATATATAATTACAGATAAGGTTTAAGGTTGGCCCATTTTATTTTATGGGCCACACTTAAAATTAATAATCCACTAAATTAGTTTTTTGTTGTTATTTGTGAACAATGTTGTTAAGATTCTGTGGTAATCATATGTAGAATCAAACAAGTTTAATTTGAAAAACAAACTACTTGAATTATATGAAAAATCCTAGAATAGGATTTTATGACTGAATTCAAGAGCTTTTAAGGGTGAGTTCATTTTTCCAAATGTTGAAGAATTTTAAGCTAAGAGAAGAATATGGAAATTTGTGATTTGATAGTGTTTTTGACCTGTAATTATTGAGTTTATGCAGAAATTGGGCGTTTCCTTAAAGTGAAAAAGAGTGAAAGGAGAAAGTTCTGATGACAGACATTTGAAGTGCAGAGAATGGTTGACAGAGTTTAGTCTTGGCTTCATACATTGATGGATATCCTTTCTCAAAGTGGTCAATAATGCCCCCTTGTGGGCACTGGAGGCTTTCAGGGGGCAGTAGAAGGCTCAGTGATTAAATATGAGTTTTATTTCTTCTCATCGAAACATTCTTTGATCTCAGAAATAGGATATTCCTATTTCTGAGATCAAAGTGGATATTCCTATTTCTGAGATCCCCTATCTATCACATCCCTATCTATCCTATCCATATAATAATGCATGTTTAAACATTATATTTGCAATAACTGTTTTTAAGATATGCAGCAGATGGTAATGTAAAAAGGTAAGTTAAAAAATATGGTGGCACTAGATTTTTTTTAATCTCAAAGTGGGCAGTGGTCAAAATAAGTTTGAGAACCTGTGGTTTAGAATATAAGGAAACCACAGCAAGACAGTTAAGAGATGGATTCAGAAAAGTTTGTTCAGATATTTAGCTATTATTTGTAATTGATTGAATGTTGTTTATTTCAGGTCAATACTGTAAATAAATGTTTTTATACAAATTAATGCATAAATTCAAGAAAATCTGGGTTCTTCCAAACCAAAAAACACAGGGTTAACTTTGAAAGGTCATTAAATTTAAACTAATGCTGAAAAAAAATTAATATTTTAAATTACATTAATTTTCATACTTCTAGTCTATAAAATTAAAATAATGGCTTTTTCTTTATATTTCAGACCTATCACATTTTTTTAATTTTGATTTTTACTGCTATTTTGAGCAATATTTGGTTTTTATATTATAAATATATATGTATAATTATTTATATTTAAATATGAGTAAAGAAGATACTTGGTTTTTAATGAAATTTTCATTGACACAATTGCAGGAAGATCTATGTGGGCATCGCGGATTATTACCAAATACAGAACAACAAACATTTCAAATGTTTTTGCCTGCTCTTGTTAGAGAACAATATGAACATTTGCTTCTTCCATTAAATTCGGTCTGTCATGTATCACATTAACACTTAAAAATAATAATAATTAAATACTAATATATTTTATCTTAATTTCAGTATAGTCAAGCAGCCGATAGGATGCAAGGAGGCAAGTACAATTTATCAAAATTATATTATTTATTAAAAAAGATATTTTAACATTCTTTGTCATTTATAGCTGGCGGCCGACTTTCCAGGGCCGATATCGATAAAGTCGCTAATATTTATCATATGGTGAAGAAATTCCTCTCTGGATTCATAGAACATGTAAAATTATTTGAAATTTTTTTATTTCAAAAATAACAGTACAAGTTTTCTATTTAAAATGTTTAAAATTTTTTAATCTAGGCATTTAAAGATTTGGATTATGTCATCAAGGACAAATTATTTCTGGAAAGTCTCTTAGATGTAGAATTCATTGAAAATACAGACAGGGGATGTTTTTACAATGGTAAATATTATGAATTTTGAGTTATAACATATCAATTTAATTGCATTACTTATTTATTTAAGATAAATATTCTATAAGAAATAAATTAATATAATAATGAATTTCACTGTTGCTCTTATAAATTGAATATTTTAAAAATAGATCCAATATTTAAATATGTGATGCAATATGAATGCTTAGTATAACTTGGGCTTTAATAAAGTTATTAGGATATTTATATTTTAGTGCATTTGTTATTTATCATTCTTTGATTTTGTTGGTAAAAATCTAAAAAAGAAATTTATAGATAATGTTTGATTTTAATGATTTAAATGAATATTAGTATCAAGATATTTAGGATATGCAAAATAATTTATGTACATTGTGAGAAACTATACACAACTAATTTAAAAAGTCTTTCTTTTGTAGATAATGGTTACTCATTTGATAATATTTTATTTCGTGGCCAAGAAGTTACTATAGTTATTTTTGAAGTTATGCTCTTTACAATTGTCGACATGGTGGCCGAAGATTATGTATATTCTGCAATCGTAACATTTATTATAGCAAAGGTATGCTTTTCAGTTTTTATTAAGATATTAAATTTATTTCTCTTAATAAACCTTTTCATTCCAGATAATTAAATCTATAAGACAAAGTGTTGGAAAAAGAAATTTAGTAAAAAAAGCACTAATAGATGAGCGTTTCTTAGGCTAAAAATCATTTGAAAATCACTATTGGCCTTTATTATATGTACAAATATTTTTTTATCATTATCATCACATATGTATATAAGTTCAGTTGCTGCATTTATCATTATTGAATGTATCTCTTTTGTAGCAGCAAATTTTGTAATATTTAATTATTTATGTATTCACACTGTACAATCTCATTTGATAAATTAGTAATTGTTTGACACACAAGTTGCTCAAAAACATGAATATTTATTGTATATAATGTAAACATAATTTCAATCAAAAATTAGAATATTGACAACAAATCCTTACAAATAAGTTTTGTACCATTGCTAAGTAAAATATTTGAATGATTATCGGATACTTAAACACAAAAAAAAAAAAAAAAACGATTTTCTCATTCCATCCATTGAAATACAATGAATTTTCTATTCAAATTTAATGATCACAGTAAGAATTTATTGTCTTTGTTCCATTCCAGAAATTCTATAAATATTTTATTTTATATAAATAAAATAACTGCCCCTTATTTAAAATATGCCTCTTTCTTCATATCAAATTTCGTATCACAATCCATAATCAAAGTTGGGACAACCTTTCAACAATGTTGCCAAGAATCCCGCATAAGTCTGCGGATCCACAGCCACGCTTTTCACAGACTTATTCAAAGTCATGTCTTCTATCCATTTCGAAAGAAGAGGATAACTCTCACTAGGAAATTTTGTTAATTGAGGACGAATTAAATAGAGTGCAGGAATGATCTCAAACCAGGGCCAAATTAAATAGTCCAGCATTCCCAGTGTCTTTCCTAAAAATAAAAATATAAACATGTTTCTACTGCAATGTATAACATATTCATCTTTTAAATTATATTTACCTCCAAAATATGAACCTCTAGATGATAATTCACTTTCATATTGTGTCAATGGTTCCATTATATCTGACCAGAACTGTGGAAATTCCTCTTCCTTTAGCTCATTATGAAGAACTTTGGATATTTTTCCTAATATCTGAAAAAGATTTGTTTTTAAAGTGCAGATTTTCCTATTAATAAGCATTCATGTTACAATGTTAAGTTTTTACCTTCCCAAACACTTCTAGCATCAGTTTGTCTTTTGCTTTTAGATATGGATCACTGGGATAAAGTTTTTTATCTGGAAATGCATCGTCGAGATAGTCGCATATTATAACAGAATCGGTTAGCAATTTTCCTCCTTCGTCATACAAAGGAACTTTACCGGAAAGATTTTTTTCTAAAAACCATTCGGGCTTGCTTCTTAAGTTAATGTTAATCATGTCATAACTATTAAAAGAAATTGATTTCATTTTGGATATTAAAAACATTTTAATTGTTTCTTTACACAACTTACGGAATGTCTTTGGCTGTTAGGACTAGACGGACTCTCTTAGTAAATGGGCAAAACCGCATTCCATATAATCTTATTTCTTTATTTGATGGAGGCGGTGAGCTTCCTTTTAAAGAAAATTTTATGATGGAATTTTTATAATTTCTTTATATTTGATTTGATTAATAAAATAAAGCAACACTTTACAGATGCAGATTCTAGGGAACAACAGGGGCTTAAGCCCTCCCTATTGATGCAAAAATTAAAATTTGTTTGAATTTACATACAAGGTTTTGAAAAACATTTATGATGGCAACTATGGTGTATTTGACCATTCACAATACAGTCATTGTGCACGTTAATAAAAAGTATTTAAAAATTTGAATAATTAATGAGTTAGCTTCCTTTGATTCTTCTGGATCTATTACTTTTTCTTCAGACAGTACAGAATATAACAAGTAAAGAATACAAAACGGAATTTTGTATTCTTTTTGAATGTGGCATTCTATTTCCTGTCTTTTATTAAGGAATAAAATATCTGAATAAAATCATTAACTACTTCTAACAAAAAAATAAATATACATATAAATAGTATCGGTATTCAACCATTGGTTCCTTTTTTAAATAAATGACACAGTGCAAACTGAATGTAAAGTAAACAACAACAAAATTTACTCCATTCAGCAGTGATATTTCAAGTTAACCAGTGTTTTCGAATCACTTAACGTTTGTCTTTGGGTTCAAATGTACATAGCAGACTTCATGTGTGGACATTTCATTTGATTTAAAAAAATGAAATGTCCAAATGAAAGGTTCAAATGTACATAGCAGA